TTTAACTTTTGACTCTTAAAATATCTTCACTAAACTGAGTTTAATACAAACAAGCAAACAATATATCATGCACTTCGACTTACTATGTTATATAGCTGCTATAGGAACTAAGGGTCCAAAATTCATTCTTCGAATATTTGTATATATATTATAATTCAACTGTACAAACCGTTTTTGAACTATATAAGCATGCCAAATCATAAATCAGCAGATCACAATATAATATATTATAAATCTTCTAAATGTTAGGGCATTTAGACTTCGCTGGTTCGCAGACAACTTCATCTAACTTGTTTTGGCCTAAAATTAGTCACGCACTCAACAAATTGCCGGCTTGGTGGTTGGGTGGTTCGCTTTCAATGCCACAGTGTGGTTGCGTTACAGTATGTTTTTTTTTTTTTGAAAGTCGCGCCTTTTGATCAACCTCAACGCTGCACGCTTATTATTCACGACAAGTTTTCTATCTACTGTTGTTTTTTTTTTTTATTTATTTAATTTTTATTTTTAGTATTGTTTTTGATTTTTTTATTTAGCTTTTATTGCTGCGCTCTCGGTTGTGGGTGTGCGATTTATGCATTTTATGGCATTTTTTCTTTTCAATTGCGCAGCTCAAAAATTAATCACACATTTTATATTTAACACGCATTGCCCCAATGCACTGACATAGTTTAACTTTAGCAACAACAACAATAACATCGAAATTGCATACAAATTGCTAATTTCAGAGAAAGGAAAACGAGCAGCAGGAGAAAGAGAGAAAGATAGATCAAAAACACGAGATTAAAGTAGTAGTACGTGACGGAGATGGAACTGGCAAATTGAAGTCTATAGTTAGGAGCGGAGAAAGAGAAGGGAGACAGACTGAAGAAATGCAATTAAAAACTATATATATTGAAGTATGCCCAACCAGATGGTAGCTTTAGGACTGGAAGACATTTTCGATCAATGATCATAAAGCTATAAATTACTCTCTAAGCAGATTTTTTAAAATTCAATTTGTTTTATTATGCACTGGAACCGATATACACCTTCCGATCTCTACCAAGCGATCGACTATAATGGAAGGATATAGTTAAACTATACACCATACGCTATATAGTTACATTGTTATGAAGCTTATATGTTTAACTGTCTTGAAACTGAAAGGATTTTTAAAGTTTGCATAAACAAGAAAATCACGAAATAATTAATTTTCAATGTAGGGCTTAAGGCTGATCGTATAAAAATTCACTTTCTTTAAAACATAATTTTTATCAGGCGGACTACGTAAGAATAATTTTCCCCTCGAACAAGCTAAGTAAATATTTTAATAAGGCAAACGCCGCCAAAACCAGCATTAAATTTTCGAAACAAATTTCAAGTTAATCGAAATAAGTCAAAAATGATCTATCACATTTATCATGTGATATTTACTTATAAAGCATTCTACGTTTTTTTCTCACACTATTGCTTATTATTAACGCGTAATAAATAATTCGCGATAATTATAATTATATATTTCTTACGGCTCAGGCTGAGAGCATGTCATCAATCAGACATTCAGTCAATCAGGGCAGTCAGTTGCTACCAATAAGACAGACTTTGAATATTCTTCTGAACCCATTGGAAGGGTATAATCTTAATGTGAAAATGTATGAAACAAGCAGAAGGAAGCATTTCCGACCCCATATCTATATCAGCATCAATAGCCGGATCGCTTTATCCATATCGATCGATAATCGATAATTGAAGCAATCGATAAAAGTCTAAATCGAAATCATTATTTTTAGCAAATCTCTTAGTTTTTAAGAGTCCCCAAATTCAGGTTCAGGGTATCCCCTAGTCGGGCACTCTAGGGGACAATAACACATTTACTTGCATATTTTATAGATTTTCAGGGCAATAACTTTAACATCGTAAAATAAATTAGTATGATTATTTTTTCTAGAGCTTCAAGTTCAACAAGCCTTAATATAATATATTATTTATTTGAGAATGATTTTCGTAATGCAGATGTAACCAATTCCCAAATCAATTCTTAATTAACCCCTTTTTTCGATATGTTAAGAACATATTCATCCATTAGATAGGCAATTTCAAAAACTTTATTATTAACTCATTCAATTCGAATATGCCTTGTCATTATTAACTGCATATAATTCTATAAAACCTCAACGGCTACAAAATAGGGTTTATTTATGAGTTTTGAATGTACTTTTGTTTGTTTTATAGATTATTAGTATATATATACATTGACAACTTTTAGCAATATTCAGATATAAAAACTGATATTTCAGCTATATATATAAGCACCATAAACTCATAAATTGCTATAATGGGATTACCGTATGATATTTAATTAGTTTTAGTCTATTGCACGAAATCGCCCGTAAAATTTCGCATGTACTCGTAATACACATCTACACACACACTTGTCAACATCTACAGCTGTTTATCAGACAGCTGATAAGCTGCATATGTATTGATTTCTATATAATTCTTATCAGCAAACTAGCGAAGTTCTCCAAAACATTTGCAGAAGCGAATGTTAAGCGAAAGAAATCATCAAAAGGGCAAAGGGTGCATATATATCTATAGATACAAACTAAAATGTTGTAAATACAATGCCTAAGCAATAGATTAGCATGCGAATTAAAATTAAATATACATGATATGACTAAAAGTTGCCATGTCATGCCCATTTAGCAATTCAGCACACAATAAAACAAAAACAAGCAAATATTCTACCTGAAAGCTTAATGAACTATGTACCTGACGGGCTTTATCAATCTGTTGTCTCATATGTAACTAAACGTGGACTCATATTAGAATGAGCTTGTAGAAAAGCTACGGTTTCTTGTTAATATATGGAAAAGTCTGTTAAAGAAGTTCGACCTTTATTCAAGCTAAACTAATTGAGTCAAGTGGTCAATGTTTGCTTGGAAATTTACACTGATTAAAAATCTGATTACCTTTTCCCAGATTTAATGTCTACTCCAGACTTCTGAATACTCTAAGGTAGGTACAAGTGCACGTACGAGTACTCAGGAGTTCTCAAAAGTAGGAACATATGAGTTTTAAATGATTTTCTTGAAAAAATACTAAACTGGATAAGTTAAAAGAAAAAATAAGAATATTTTGTAATATTACAAAAGTTTTACATCAGCTATTATATTATAAACATATAATATACATATATCAGATATCATAAATTTATATATATATATATATTTTATTTTATTTTGCTGTGATATATTAAATACATGGTGCAATATCTTAATTCAAAGCATTTAGTTTCTGGCAAATGCCCAAATAATTCTAACTTCTGTAGTTAAAATTATAGTATAATTTTCAATATAATAATAACTTTTTTTTCCAGTCAAATAAAGAATTCACCCGTCTATTAGTTTTATATTATATTATTATTAACCCTATTGCTATTGCTATTGATTTTCAACTTGAGCAATAAACTAAATTCGACCAATTGATATTTAAGGCGCCCGCTTTTAATACTGTTGTAATGCCTGGTCATAATATAAGCAAAAAATTGTGGGCAAAAACGTGCAAATAATAGCAATAAAAACTAACGAATTTGGACAAATAAATGAAAAAAAAAATCACAGCGGAATCGAAATGAAGAAAACAAAAGGCTTCGATAAATTTATGCAAAAACCAGCTGCAAAACTTGCGCAACAATTTCACCAACGCAACACTGCGTTATACACACATGCAGACAGAGAGATATGTGCAGATGTGTGTACATATGTAAGAGCAAGCGAGAGCAACCATCATAACGACTAACGATCGAACAAGAAATCTGTTAATGTTGCTGCAACACTCACACACATGCACTCCCACAGACAGGGAAACCAAGTGCTTTTGTTTTGTTGCTTACTGTGCAAATACTTACTTAAAGGTGAGCTTTAACATATCCATGAAACGCACAGCCATTGTAGGATAATAATAATTGCACCTTTTCGCACACACCAATTAATTATAAAAAAAAGCCAACAGCAAATTTCACGGCCCTACGCTTGTATTAGGCGCGGCTTGTGTAGCGAAAGTAAATTAATGAATTCAGTTCACGCACACAAACAATTCGATTCTTGTAGACACACGCCAGACGAACCGCTCTGCACGAGAGTGGGTCAACAACTGAGTGAAGTCGCGCGATCGCGTTGCCTTTTCGTTGGGAGGGAGGAAGTTCGGCGAGCGGCGTAACATAAACACACTAATGAAAGCGGCTCTCAAAACGTAAACACCACACAATCAAACTCAAACGCGCTCTCTTACGCAGGTCTCTCCGCCGCTGCTTGCTCTCAACAGGTGGTTTGCTTGTGCTCTGGGCGAATCGGTTGCTGTGTGCAGTATTGTTGTTTTTGCCTGAACTGTTGAGTTGAAAGCTTTTGATTTGTATAGCGTTGCCAGTTAATGCAAAGCACTGTAAGAAAAAGCTTAAATGACATACTGTTAAACACATAGCAGCTGTAGATCGCTGTTAAGTGCTCTGTTATGATAGTTGTACTTCGATTACCTGTACAGAGCTTTTATGATTAATCGATATGATTCTTATTAATACATATATAAAGTTCAAGCTGGTTCAAGGTCACTATTTGCAATATAAACGTAAGCCCAGCATTTAATTTTTATTATATATGTCTAAATATTTTATATCAATTTAATCCATATAAATTCTAAATGGAAAGCACCACAAAATTTTTAATAAAAAAACCCCCAACAAAGCACATAAAAAATTCACCTTAAGATTTACCGAAATACGAAGCAAACGCTTGAATGTAATTAAAGCTTAACCGAGTGCAAAGACCTTAATAAATATACTGCTTTACGTATATCTAGGCGTATAACTGGTCAATTACAGTTAGAAGTTGGTCTTGAACTTGAATTTAAAAAAATTACAATTTCCATATTCGCATCTCATTAAAACCAGTTTTGGTCAGGTCTAATCATACACGAGAGACCTGAATGAATGCTTATCGTTTTTTTTAGCAATAATTAACAGATTTTTTTGTTTAAAAATTCAGCAATTTATTGGCTCAACCAAAATTATTTCCTTCCGTCTGGTATTAAGATTCTAGCCATAGTGTTGTCAAAATTTCAAAATCAAAACTGAAAATCGTCTGCGGTTGTGTGTCTGGGCTCACTTTGGGTTATAACTTGAGGAGCAGACACATCTTCAGTCATGGCCAAATACAGGCAAATGGCCAGAATGCTGACCAAAGTACGGAATAGTTAATTGAAAATTTTTTTTTTTATACTTTCAATAAATACAACCTGAGCAAAAATAGGGCTCGCAGCGTTGAACACATCTGAGCTTGTCTCTTTAGTTTATCTAATGCAACTAACTGAATAATTGACGAGAAATGCTCAAAGAGTGCTTATATGGCTTGTTTGGTGTACTTATTCGCATTATTTTTATATATTTGCTAAATGATTGATAAACAGTACATGAGTAATGCTGAAAAAGTTGAAGAGTTGAACATCGAAAGGAATTAGCAAGTTCTGTAAGTAATTTTGCTACTTCAATGTATTAAATGCTAAGGTTGACAGTCATTTTGTCGACCATTATTAAATAAATAAAATAAATAATACTCATAGTGTGTTTCATTATTGCCATACCGAGAATAATACATATAGTATTTACCGCTTACTTGTGAACAGAACCTCACAGACATAACCTCACTTAGTCAAACATAAGCTCACCTAACCCAACACTACCTTACCTAACCTAGCCTAATTTTTCATAAGCTAACATTTAACCCATCTCAATCTAAAAATTATTTGTAGCATTGACTTTTTCATTTTGTACCTCTCACAATTATGTTCTAGGATAACTAGGATGAAAAGCTAAGCTATTTTCCAGCCTAACATAACCATAAACCCAAAAATACAGTTTCTTAGAGAATGCAACTATTTAACAATATAATAAGCTATTTAGGATGCTAAGATTCCCATTGGAAATTAACCACCTTACCCAACATAAGCTTATCTATAGCATATCTTAAAAACTCGCTTTGATATCAACCCAGAAATGATACTGAAATATGATTCAGCTTTTACCGTCCATTATCAACTGAAATTGTAGTCACACCTCCAAGAAACCCAATTAACAACTTGCCATTTGCACTTGAATTAGTCACGCGTCGCAAAAGCTTGTGATTGTCTTTAATGGTTCTTTATATTTTTCATTTTATAGGATTTATCTCAAGTTTGTTTTGCCAAACGTCCGAGTAGACATTCAGCTGATACGCGTGGTTTGTTTGAGCTAATAAAAGAGAAGAGTGCAGAAAGAGAAGCAAAATCGCTAGTTTCTGATTCAGATTCAGTTGGCCGATAAGCGCTGCAGTAGCAAAACCGAAAACGAAGGCAGTTCTATTAAGTCAATCAATGACAATTCAGAATGTGGTCGATTAACGATTACTTATAATATGAATTATCACACTTACTTCTGTACATAGTCATAGTTCGTGTAGATGCCAGTGGGATGCGCGGACAGAACTTTCAGTTTTTTTAGAACAATTACGTACTTTGTCATGTTAAATTTTTCCGACAACTTTGGCAAAGTTAGTTGAGAAGAAATTCAACACATTTATTTTAAATATTCCTATATATAAAACTGTCCGACTGACTGACTGACTGATTGGTGATCATCATACAAAAATGTATTCCTTCTTGGTATAAATGGGGGTTAAAAATTTGTGATGTTTCGCACTCAAATTCATTTTCAAGGATCTGTATGAAACATCATTTGAGACGTGTTTCACATTTTTCGCAAAATCTAAACTTCTTCGGTAGAAATGCGATTCAAAGGTTTTTTGGACGATGTTTTTAAGTCGTGTCCCATTTGCCTCTAACTTATTTTCAAAGCTCTACATATGAACTTAATGAATAACCGCGACAGTAGTTAATAAGCGAAGATCGTGAATGATAGTTATTTATTTACCGTCCGATCAGTTTCAAGATCATTCTCAAAGCTTTTTGAGAACATTTATTTTATACGTGCCACGGGCCGGCTATACTCGCAAGTTTTAAATAAAAGATTTGTTTTATTTGAAATACATTCAGTTATTTTGTTTTTAATTGGTTTGATTTTCTTATTAAAATATGGATTTTCAAATTTGATAGTTTCTTATTTGTGGCATCACAATATATTTGAAGCTTATAGAAAATTGAATTTATGGAGCTCGTCTTAGAATTCTTTATGTGGTATTTATACAAAAAAAAGATACCAATTCAAAAGACTTACGACTGTTTTTTTTTTTTTTTTTGTGCATTTCAAATAACATTTCAAGGTGTTTTTAGTCAACAGACACATTTAAATTCAAATTCAAGTCCTAAGTAAATATATATACATATATATAATTATATATATGTTACTCTATGTAAACAAGAATCATATTCCTAAATATGTAAAACTTGGACTGGTATATTGTATACTACAAAAACACAACAAATACATTTTCAAAAATTAGATTACTATAAAAGGTTTACATATTCAAAATCCTACGCAAGTCGGCATTAAAGCTAAACAAACGATTTATTATCCAAAAAAATTAATATTATAAAAAATATTTTATTTGGGTGAGTTGTTTAATATTCCAAAAATAATAAAATATTTATAAAAAATATTATTATATGGGTGAGTTGTTGTTGTTGTTTCTTTTTTTGTGCACGGAAGAGAATCGAACGCCATATAATACAAGAAAAATAATAGTGTCAGGGCGCTTTGACAGCCTTTTACATATATATAGGAAATATATGCTTGATATAAGTAGTTTATCTTTTGCGACTCATAAGGAACATTTTTCTTATGCACATTCATTGGTCGTACGGATCCATAACGCGTTATCAAAAGGTACTTCAGTTGCGACTTATATCATTCTCTAGAACTAAGCTCAATCATAATAATTAATCTCTGAATTTAACAGCTATCTGTAGATATTATAGACTGGGATCAAACTTGAACAGGCTTAAATAGAATTTCGTTCTTGGACAAACTTAACAGCACATATATAGATGGTTCATTCTAGACTTTAAAGCTACGCTTTGCATTGTTTTCAACATAAAGCTAATGCTAATGCTAAGTAGAGGCCCCCATTCCCCTTACAGCGCAGCCTTGTTCACAGCAGCTCGTCGCGCTTAAAGAAACTCTCCCAGACCATCAATTTGCGCAGCTCGGGCACATCGATTATCTTCAGATCGTCGGATATATTAAGGCACTTCAGCTGATGCTTCTCAACTGCACTGGCCGACACAGGCTCCCACAGTTCCGACTGCTCAGGATCATAATTGGGATTGCCATATGTGGCAAAGTGTGTCCACAAGCCGACCAAGCGTTCGATGCATTTGTATTCCCGCGTATGATTCTTGAGCTTGCGCGCTAGCGAATTGTAAAACAGATACGACAAATCATCACCGTGGCAGGTGCCACGCACCTTCTTGCCACAGCTGAGTATGCGCAGATGATTAAAGTGCTTCGAGTCGAAATCGAAGCGGTACAAATAGGTGGGTGCGCTCGACGCGTGCTCCAAGCGCGACAATACTGTGCGATAAATGGGGAACCAGAAGTACTCGTGTGAGACCATCTGGAAAGCAGAGAGAACGAGTTATAGATTAGTGAATGTGATTTCATCTCTTATTAAGATATTAACTTATTTTTTTATCTGCTTCTTAACAAAGAGGTGCTAATGAAACTTAATACAGTTAATAGGTTTTGCTACTGGAAATAATATATATCGAGAATAACCGGATAATATCATAATATTATATAGCTGACAAAGGCACTATGAGTTAAATTTTGTGATTTTTTTTAAGTAAGTAATCTTCTGTTTCTTAAAGACGTTCTCATCAAAAGCACCAAAAAAAATATTCTATTGCGTTTAATATTTTTTTGACTAAATCTTATCAATATTGTTACGACTTATCATGTAGCTCCGATTAGGGTGCTAAGTCGAAAAAAACGTCTTTCATTTTCAAGCTCTCATTATCAATTTTACCAAATTATAGTTTCTTTATCATTTCTAAATAAAATACACATCAAAAAGTCGTGGAAAAACGGTTTAAAAATGTGATTCTTCTATGCAAAATTCTGACCACACAAACTTCTATCTTCACAATCGATCACAAACTAGTTATTTGTTGAAAAAAAAAAAAACATAAAAAGCTATCTGTGATTTCTGATAAGATACTTTTTGAGATATAAGACTATAATTAATCTGAACCACTTCAACGATAACTGATATATTATCTACTCCCTACACACCTGCAGATACTCGTGAAGCGTGTCCAGACTGGGCGTCTTATCGCCGTAGTAGCACTGACGCAGCTGCTCGCCATAGTCCTTGCACAGTTCGCTATCCCGATCCAAGTTGAGCTCAATGGGCACCACGTAGCGGCAGTCACCGAGCTCGTTGAGACACTTGGGATTCGACTTGGTTTCGGAGTAGAGCAACAGACCCTCGTTGGAAACGCCGCCCAGGATGAGGGGTATACTGTTGCTCCAGGCAGTGCGCATCATTATGATGGGCTTGGTGGGCACCACGCAGTGGCTGGTTTCGTAGGGTTCGATGACAGGACCAAAGGAGAAGCCAATACGCTCCTTTTTCTCTTCGTCGATGCAGAGCTCGCCATTAGCCTTGATTATATCAGAGCCTTTGGCATTCTTCAAGAATTCCCATACCTCACGTTCCGTGGCCTCGCCCGTATAGCCCGCTTGCACAGCCAGCCGATAGGGCCAATTGCGCTGCGGCGTAACAGCCCAGGGCGAAAGGGTATTCCCCGACATGCAGATGGCCTTGTGGAAAAGGCCGCGCGTCTGCTCTGTTATCATCATGTAGTGCACTGAAGCGCTGCCCGCGCTATCACCAAAAATTGTAATATTATTCGAGTCACCGCCAAATCTCGAGCAGTTGGCCTTCACCCAGCGTAGAGCCAAGACCTGATCCTTGAGACCCGCATTGCCGGGCACATCAAACTCGGGATCCTCTAGGCACAAGAAGCCTAACGCAACAGAGAAATTATTTATTAGGTTTTATATATTTCATATAATTCAATTTGTATACACACCCAGTGGACCCAGGCGATAATTAATGGATATAACGACCACGTCCTCACGCAGCAAATAGTCTGGACTGTAGCATTCACGTGAGGCCTCGCCAAATTGAAAGCCGCCGCCATAGATCCAGACCATGACAGGCATTGGTTTATTGGGATATAACTGTGCGATACAAATAATAAATATTATTGTAAACAGATGAGTTTTTCGCTTATTTTTCACTTACATTCTTGGTATACACATTGAGATAGAGACAGTCCTCGGAACCATCTGTCATCTCGAATACAAAATGCTTCTGAAGCGGCTTTGGACCCTGGGAAGTGCAACTTTTGACCTCAGTCCATATTTCTGGTGGTTGTGGCGCCCTATAGCGCAG